AAGCACTATGTTTTAATTTCTACTCTTAAAAGGAAAAGATAGGGGGGTTAGGGGGGGGGGTTTATTCCAAAACGTCAGTATTGTTACATTAATAATTAGGCTTAAGTGATCGAACAGACCGCTAACCATAGCAGCTATTTGGTCTATTAATTGAAACCTGAGTAAAGCAGCCCTCATCCATATACACTGTCCAGATACTAGTTCTAGCACTTGGCTACCTGAGTAAAGCAGCCCTCATCCATATACACTGTCCAGATACTAGTTCTAGCACTTGGCTACCTGAGTAAAGCAGCCCTCATCCATATACACTGTCCAGATACTAGTTCTGGCACTTGGCTACCTGAGTAAAGCAGCCCTCATCCATATACACTGTCCAGATACTAGTTCTAGCACTTGGCTTTGCGCCAAGCAGAGAGGTTAGGAGTATTCTTGGGTTGATGTGTTGTTTGTGTATCTCAGCCTCTTTAGGATACCCGAATTCAAGAAGAGCACTCTGCCAAGTCTTTGCAGGTGGTATCTGTTCACATTTGACCATATTCAATGAAGTAAAGTTATTGTAAATTTATTTCATAAATTATTTATAGAAAAATTTCACAATTCTAATAAGTGAACATTTGTGAAAATCCAAAGGTGATTTCACTAATCCGGACGTGTTTCAAATATTGTTGTTGAAAATCCAAAGGTGATTTCACTAATCTGAACGTGTTTCAAATATTGTTCTATGAAGTTCCTGATACCGATGAACGACTTTAAGCACAGTATTTCGTTGTAACTATATCACGTGTCAATTTTACACACTACCAGCAGCCTATAATCTTTTTACTTTCAAAGTGTCCTAACTCATAACATTCTGTACACACTTTAACACTATTAATCTACGTATCAAGTTGTGTGTATATTTGTACTCATTAAGTTCCCTTGCTGTGCAGGCCACGTCTCCATTCTTCTTGAATCCAATAAAGCAACTTGAACAAGACTATTTAACACACTGTACATATTTCGAAATTGTACTGAATTTTGTACCATAATTTATTTAGTTTCAGAGTATCAACGTTTATAATGACCATTCTTTTATCTACTAGCATAAAACACCCTCGCTCCGCTTAGGGCTTCAAAGGTCCTCCTCATTATTCAGAGAGATCCTAATAAATCGAGGAAGCTCCTCCATTATCTCCGATTACTTTCATAGCTACCTTAAGAGGGTGTATAACCGAAAATAAACTTAGTCTGTGCTACCTTAGCATGCGTGTCATGTTTATCCCGCTAGCTGGTTCCTGAATAGGGTTATAAAGACCCGATGCCATATTCGGGTTCAGCGACTCTATAAACCTACCTCTAAACCCCATCACATCTGAGTGACCTTCCAGGATCATTTTAGCCCCCTTAGTACCATATTTGCAGAGAACTTCGT